TTTATATTATATATTATATATTTGCATGTATATATATATAATTACGTATCTATTATATATAATTAAATATACATAATTAATTATATATAATGTATGTGTGTATGTGTGTATCCCTAGCTTCTCAAATGCTCTTTGGACAGATTTCAACATACTATTGGTTCTCTAATTAATTATTGAGTAGAATAAAATCTTTGACATGTATTCCTCTTGTATTTGCATAAATCTTTTTTGTTTGTTTGTTTTTAGAGTCATGCTTTTCTAACCTTTTGAAAAATCATACTTTTACACCATGCACAGAGACAAGGCTTTCCCTGGGGGCCCAAACGAGGCCTTTAAGGAAGCCATGTGATTTCTGGCTGAACAAAAACAACCCAGCAACAACACCTTTCAAACCGAAGCTGGCCACTGAGCGGCCCTGAGCCTGGCCCTCTGCCCCAGGCACAGACAGCATGGGGGTTTTAGGACTTCATTCCCAAGCCAGGCATGTGGAGCCACTGAGGAACTTTCCTCCCCTGCTTCCAGACAAGGTTCGGGGTCAGAGCAGAGGCTGGAGCAGCCCCCTGGGGTTGACCAATTATTTGGCAAAGTGCAGAGATAACATTCCTGCAAATTTCCTCATATTGTCCTGCCTCGCTCTGAGTACTCCCAGATGGGATAACGTAGACATAAGGACCGGGAAAGGATGGAGTACCTGGGTCTCTCCCTACACAGATCCCAGTCATTTTCACTATTACCTCTCGGCCACTCAAGATGAATGTGACCTTGCCTCCCCTTCTCATTCTGCTGCTTTCTGGCAAAAGCTAGAATTACAAAGTCTTTTACCTCCTCAGAATCCCAATGGAAATCCTCTTTTACTGGGGTCAGAATAAAAGCTCAGTGTTGCCCAGGTAGCTTACAGCAATAAGCAGCTGCCTTACGATATGAACTCTTGTGGATCCCAGGGCTGAGCTTCAGAGGGGGGCCACATTCCCGTATCCTTTCTCTCAGCCCAGCCCTCAACCTGCTGGTGAGGGTGAATGAGAGAGATTTAAGATACAGTTTGGGTAGAATTCTCAGAACTCGTTGGTAAATTGGATATGTGGGATTAGAGAAAGGGAGAAATCAAGACTGTATTACTCAGGGTTCTCCAGAGAAACAGACCAATAGGATAGATGTAGATACAAACATGGACATATACACATACAGACACATACAGATATGTAGAAAGAGGTGCATTATAAGGTATTGCTCCTGCGATTATGGAGGCTAAGAAATCCCACAATCTGCCATCACCAAGCTGGAGACCCAGGAAAGTTGGTGGGGTAGCTCAAAGGCCTGAGAGCCAGAGAGCCAGGGGTATAGATTCCAGTCCGAGTCTGAAGGCCTGAGAACCAGGAGTGCCAAGGGCAAGAGAAGGTCAATGTTGCAGCTAAAGAAATCAGGCAGAGAGCAAAGGCAATCTTCCTCCATCTCTCGTTCTATTCAGACCCCCGATGGATTGGATGATGCCCACCCACACTAGGAAGGGCCATCTGCTTTACTCAGCCCACCAATTCAAATGTTGATCTCTTCCCAAAACACCTACACAGACACACACAGAAATCATATTTAACTAGATATCTGGGCATCCGTAAGTTCCCAGGAGTTTCATGGCAAGGACTGGGGCTTTGTACAATGGATCTTTCCAACACAGTGTCAGTGAGCGCTTGCTGTTATCATTCGAAAGAAGGAGAGGAAAAGTTACATATTTAGATGCACACGTAGATATGGATGGCACAAATATTTATGAATGGAAAAAAAAAGACTAAAGGAAATAAAAACAAAATATTGACAAAAGTTATCTCTGTGTAATAGGCTGGCACTTCCTTTTTTCAAAAAAAAATTTTTTTCAGTTTTTGCTTTTCAATATTTCCTACAAACATTTATTCATTCAACGAATGTATTTGGCATACTTACCACATATCAGGCACCATGCTAGGCCCTGGAGTATCTAAAGGTAACAGAAAAGGGTGTGAAGGATAATAGGCATCCCTGCCCCAAGAGCTGACATCCAAAGCGGAAGACAGAGAAGGACAAAGGCAAGGTGCAGTGCACAACTTCAAGGCCGTCATCGACATCATACACATCACAGACCTCTGTGTTTAGTGGAGTTTCTCTGCAGATGGAAGTATAGACTCTTGAAAAGGGGATGTTTTCAAATTCACATGATATAAGTGACTATGAGCAATTACAGTGCAGTATGATACGGGTAGGGAGGAAGAAAAACAGCATCGTGTAAGCACATCTGACGGCAGTCTCTGTGAGTAAGAGAAGGCTTCTCATAGGAAGTAAGATTTTGGGCAAACATGAAAGGCAAGATTCACTGTTACTTTTGTAACTAGAATAAAACAAAGTTGTGGAGAGCGGATTGTAAACTGACAAGGTCCTTGCAATCTGTGAGGCCAACCAAGGGTTACCTCACCTCCACAAATCCTCCTAAGAATGGGAAGTAGGAACTGATTAGAGAACAATGGGGGTGTTGAAATGCAAATGATTTTAGCAGGCTGCGTAGGGTGGGGATTACCCTATGGAAATGCAAATGATTATAGTAGGATGTGGAGTTGGGGAGGGGATTATCTCATTTTAGTCAGCAAATGTATGCGCCTGTATAAAAGCAATTTGCAAAAATAAAATCGTTCTCTATTCCATCGCCAGTGGATAGTAGACCTCCTGATCCCAGCTTTCTGCCTTCTTTCTTTTCTCAATCTCCCACCCTTCCCACTCAGGATTATTTTCCAGGGCTGCGCTGCACGTGGCAGGATTTACCATTTGCTGGACGCGGCACAAAGTGTTTTAAAAATAGTATTGGCTGTTATTGAATGATCAGCAATTGAATACTGAATGAGAAAGAAAGAAATGAGGAAGAAAAGGAGGGAGGGAGGGAGGGAGGAAGGGAGAAGTGAAAGGAAGGAGGGGGAAGGAAGAGGAAAAGGGGAAGAATAGAAGGAAAGAAAGAGGGTTTGGAAAATTGAATGAGAAAGAAAGAAAAGAAAGAGGGTGAGGAGGAAGGAAAGGAGGGAGGGAAGGAGGGAGGGAGGAAGAGAGAAAGAAAGAGATGCCATCTTAGTCTTAGACTCAAGCTCGGGAGGCTGTGTCTTAAGCCTCAAATTTGCCTCTAGGCTGCGGAAAGTAGG